CCGATAGTTTAAGTGGATAGCGCTATTTGGATTGACAATCCCACCTTTTGCTGACGAGTAGGGGTGCATTTAACTAAAACAAGAGTTCTACACATGTGGGGTTTAGTCCCACCGCTGAGGTAGTCCGGTATTAAAAGGCATAGTTGTCGCAGGTTTAGTAGTGGCCCAATACTTAAAAATTACTTGGAGTACATTGTGCCTCGTGTGAAAGTGTTGCGAGTAAGTAAAAGACTTACTCGAGCTATATTGCATAAAGGTTTGTTGTACATTGAAAACCTGTGAACTCACCAACTCTTGTAGTTGACACTTGTTTCGACGTGCTTTTCAGGGGTAAGAAATGCACATGGGGGCACTTAAAAGAAGCCGTGTTTCAACTATCACCTTCGAATTTCTTTTTGTGTTTAATTTACAACTTGTCGTTTGGAATTGTAAACTTTGGATAATGATGTAATTAAATTTTAAATGTATGGTTGTGTTATTTATACTCTATTGCTATGAGACTCTACCTGCCATACCTCGTGTTTTCGCTTTAGCGGGGTGTGACACAAAGTCACCTACGTTAAATTCAATCGGTTTTTCTTCGTTTGTCGGCATAGCTTTTCTGTCGATCCTAGGCAGTTTTAATTTTTGTTCGAATCTAGTCAATCTTTTCAGACGTTACTTGCACAATCTCGGGACCTGTCAATTGTTTTTCACCTACCTCATTCCAACATAATGGCGTTCCACATTTTCTTCCATATAGGACTTCATAAGGTGCCGCTTGGATGCTGGAGTGGTAACTATTATTGTAGGCGAATTCTATCAACGACAAATACTTAATCTGATTTGTGATGGTTCTTTCACTTTGTCCATCTGTTTGTGGGTGATAAGCCATACTTAATCTGATTTGTGATCCCAAAGCTCTTTCCAGACTTTCCCTGAATTTTGAAGTAAAGCGACTGTCTCTATCAAATTTGATGGACAATGGAACTCCATGTCTAGTCACAATTTCTTTGATATAGATTTGAGCCAATCTTTCCAATGAATAAGTCTCTTTCATTGGTAAAAAATGTGCAGACTTTGATAGACGATCCACTATTACCCATATTGCATCATAAGCTTTCGGGGTTCAGCGTAATTTCATGATAAAGTCCATAGTAATATGATCCCATTTCCAGATCGGTATTTCCAATTATTGTAGATTCCCATAGGGTCTCTGATGCTCTATTTTAACTTGCAAACAAGTTAAGCATCGTTCTACATATCTTGCGATGTCTTTCTTGAGACCTGGCCACCAATAAAATGCCTTCATATCCTTATACATCTTGTTGGTATCTGGGTGGATGGAATAACGGGACTTGTGGCTTTCATTTAGGATGGTTTCTCGAGTATTCCCATAATTTGCTACCCATATCCGACCTTGGAAAGATAATAATCCTTCCCCATCAGGTTCCATGATGGAAATTATTTTACCCACTTTTTCTGATTTCTTATTTTCTTCCTTGACAGCCTCTGTTTGGCATTTCTGTATTTTCTTATGCAAATCTGGGTTTAAACTTATTTTCATCGCCACTGCCTTGATAGTTCGACTTCTCTCTTTACGGCTCAGAGCATCGGCTACAACATTAGCCTTTCCTGGGTGATACAAAATTTCATAGTCATAGTCATTAACTAATTCAATCCATCGTCGTTGTCTCATATTCAGATCTTTCTGGTTGAACAAGTGTTGTAGGCTTTTGTGATCTGTATAAATTTTACAGTTCGTTCCCAATAGGTAATGCCTCCAAATCTTTAAAGCAAAAACCACGGCCACCAATTCCATGTCGTGAGTTGGATAGTGCTTTTCATGATCTTTTAATTGTCGAGATGCATATGATATGACCTTCCCTTTTTTGCATCAAGACACAGCCTAAACCCAACTTCGATGCATCACTATACACCACAAAGTCTTCAGTTCCATCGGGTAATGATAGTATCGGGGCGCTGCAAAGTTGATCTTTTAATAACTGAAAGGCTTTATGTTGTTCTTCTTCCCACTGAAATTTAACATTCTTTCAAGTTAATTT